GGTGTGGCAGGACCTAACCAAGATGGCGGAAAGTTCGAAGAGAAAGAGTGTCATTCAGATTCTCAACCACAATTTTCATGTGATCAGTATGATGAAAATACAAAAATTAAACCTGTATTTACTTATTAATTATTACAATATGTATACTGTTAGAGAATAAGAGAGTTTGCAACATGGCTGGCAATAATAATTAATTACAAAATAAATATAACTACCAATTTTTGCGCTGAAGGAAATGAACTTCATTGTGGTACACAAAAGTGTGTCTGGCTGCTACTACCTACCAATCATCTCACTGATGCCAACATGGTGGCCAACGACATTATGGCTGAGCTCCAATAAATTCTTCAGCAAGAAGTCGCTATTGATGATATACAACAGTACCTATGACGTGACTGTCTTGAGATAACAGGAATTCCCATAGTACCAGAAGAAAATACGAAAGACCTGGTAATGGAGCTGGCATCAACTATTGGGGTTGGCTTGGATGATAAAGATATTTCTATCACACATGGACTGACTGCCTGAAACAAGAAGATCCGTCCCGTCGTACACGCTTTAGACAAATCTAGGAAAATACCAACAGTGTAGTTTCCTTGATCAATTTCTTTTGTAATTTTGTTGACAAGTTCCATTATTGCGAGTTCAGTTGACCTGTTTTTTCTAAATCCATACTGATGGTCATATAAAATATTGTTACTTTCAACATAATTTATTAATCGTTTGTACATGAGTTTTTCAAGTATTTTAGCAAAGCGTGTTAAAACTGATATGGGTCTATAGTTTTCAAATTTATTTATTGCATTTGCTTTATATATAGGTGTTACTAGGGACGTTTTCATCTGTTCAGGGATAATTAATACCTGTAGTAAATGTTAAATTGTATACAGCTGATTCAATTAAGTTTGTGACAGGCAATAGGCAAATGTAAATTGTAAGCGCGAACAGTGTCATGGGTCCAGTGCATTTGACTAACTAATGCATCAACATATTTTGAATGGTGTCGTTAATGTACGCTAATTATAATTTTTGGTAAACTGCCTAGGTCGTGAGATCATTTACAAAGTCAACAAATATTGTTTTAATATTGAACTAAACATTCTAACATTGATTAAGCAAGTTAGGCCGATGTTGAGGTTTGTGGATGCAAAAGCTATAACTTTCTTTCACATGGCCTTTTGAATATTCAAACTACACTTGCAAAAGTCTCACAACTTATAACAAGTTAAAATGTTCAAAATGTTCTCAAAAGAATAAATTTATATATTGTTAGCATTGCAAGGCACACATAGTCTTTCTTGAGGAATCCTAGGGACTTTACAAAGTCCACTTTTTTCTATTATGTATGATGACGGTGACCATGACAATAAAGGTTTCACCTTGATTGGGAAATCAACAGCCTTTCCTTCTCCTCTCTCACCCAAAATATACCACCAATTATTTGGTAGAAACTTTAGCCTAACCAAGTCATCTTTGTTGAGCAGCAAATGTCCCCGATGAGCTGATGGTATGCCTTTATTATACGTAACATACCTCTAAACATCCAACTGCATGTTAATATATACTGGTGAAAGAGATACATTTTTCAATGCAGAAATCACCCCTAGCAAGAATTGTCGGCTGGCTTCTTGTAAAATTTCATTGCTTTGTGCAGCAGGGTTTGTATAGCTTTATGCCCAAAGTCAAGTAATACGACTTACTACACCCTTTCAAATGAATTAAAATTACAAAATATACCTTAGTAGCAGGCAATTTAAATTTTCTTCAGGTTCCCACGAACAACTCTGGTAAGGCCAATGCTTCCATTTGATTAAATATTCAAAGTCCTATAATGTTTGAAATATATTATTTTATGAAAACATAGACCGTGGAGAAGGTGTGGGTGAAAATAAATAGAAATAATTTATTCGCTATATCTCTCTAGAAGCAACTAGTATTTGAACGGTTTATTACGGTGAGATATAAAATCGGTTTTACACTAACTTTTCCCTTTGTTCACCTGGTGATTATTCTGTCTGCTTCGTAAAACATGCTCCGTTTTCTCTTCCTCGTAGTATCGTACATAACGACAGACGAAAATGAATTTAGTTGTTGATAATTAAATGGCAAAACAGTTGCAGTTCACTTCGCACCTTTGGCAGCCATTTTGTGAATTTCTATTCTTGAACAGGTTACCACTGACTTGCTTGGGGGCTCAAATGTCTGAGATTTCTGGCGATGAAGCTTTGGGGTTTTTGTTTGTGTTGCTTTTATGGGCGTACTTGTGTTAGATAAGTTTAATGCTTGCTCAGAGCGCTTGATGATATGGATTCTGATTTAATGCTTAATATTTCTGTTTCTGAGTATTGTAGTCCTACCCAGCTTAATGAGCTACTTGATCAAGCCAGTAATCAAAGTTTAGGTTTGTTGCATTGTAATATGAAAAGCCTAAAAAAAATCATCCCCTTTTAAATGAGCTGTTAGTCACATTAAGCAAATGTATTGATATAATTGCTGTCACTGAAACAAGATTAAATTCCAACTTAATAGATAATATTGACATAGGAAACTATAATTTCTTCAATGTTGACTCCCCTACTAGTGCGGGAAGTGTAGGTATTTATGTTTACAAAAGAATAAAAGTCTCACTGAGAACGGAACTGAAATTTAATATGTCTGCAGTCAAATCATGTTGGGTTGAACTTGATACTGATTCAAATAAACCAAACATATTGATTGGATGTATTTATAAGCATCCTACTGCCAATCTAACTGAATTCACTACTGAACTTGAAAGTATAATGAATGGTTGGCTGCATATAAAACTTATATCCTAGGAGATATGAATGTTAAATTCTTTAATTACTCTGAGTACACCCAAACAGAAGAATATCTAAATATGATTTATAGCAATAACTTTCTCCCACTAATAACAAAACCAACTAGAGTTACCCACCAAACAGCAACACTGATTGATCATATATATGCAATTGCACCCAATATAGGTATAACATGTAAAATTATAACTACTGATATTTCAGAACATCTGCCGATCTTTTGTATGACAGATGTTCAGATTCATCGAAATAAACAAATGTTTATTACCGAAAATATGTGTCATTTAATACTGAAGCATATATGAATGATATAAAATCACTTGAATGGAATAGAGTTATGTCAGAACCTAATTTAAATGTCAAGGCAGAAATAGTAATAAACAGTATTAAATGTATTATAGATAAACATGCTCCAATTAAATTAGCATCTATATCAAAAGTTAAACAACTGTCTAAGCCATGGATAACCAGTGCTCTCTTAAAATCTATTAAAACAAAGCAAAAAATGTATCGTACACACTTTTTAAGTAGACATCCCCCGCATATGCATCAATATAAAAATTATACAAATATGCTTAATAGGTTAAAAGCAAAAAATGTTTACTTTATAAATCAATTTAAAAAATCTCAAAATAATCTGAAGCAAACATGGAAGGTGATAGGTTCACTAATAAACAGGAAAACAAAAAAGCAAATGATACCCACAAGAATAATTAGAAATGGTACAACATACGAAAAAACCCCAAAGATATAGCTAATCAGCTTAATCATCATTTTTGCGCCCGCCAAAGGCGGCGGCAATGCTATCGTCTGCTATGAACTTCCGGTGACGTCATCGTGCTCTCTCGCTCTAATATCTACGCAGCCCCATGATCACTTGCACGCGTAAATTATACACGAGGGATTTACTGCTTCTGTCGACTTCTCAAAGCCTTTGCAGCTGTTTCATTGCCGAATTCGCTGATTTAGTAGCAGTTTTTGGACGGTTCATCTGGAGCTTTCAAGGTAAGTAAACTTCTTTTAGCCTATTGCTTAAGGTTTTGCAAGTATATTGTCTTTTAGCGACAAAACTCGGCCATGATTGACTCGATAAATTATCGCAATTTGAAAGTACATCGTGATTGTTGAAGTACATTGTCATTGATTCTGAATTTCAATTTGTCTCTTTCAACTTCGGTATTACTTCAAGTTTGAGGTATAGTAATATCTTCTATAGTAGCATCTTCTGTAATATCCCAGCGATCGAGTCGCAACTTTTTACCTTGTCTAGTTGTCTTGTGCGTACTTGTACTTGTACTTGCAGGCAGATGTTCTGTCTGCGATGTGTATGAGTATGTATTACAAGTGATGGAATATTATCGATGATGGCTTTCTTCATTTCTTTCTTTCAGCTTCTACGACCTCGCTGAGGTTGTGTTGTTTGTTTCAGAGAAACATCTTGTGTAAAAACTTGTGTTTGCACTGACCCAAGCCACTGGTCAGGCAAATTGTGTGTTGTATCACAATCTTTTAAAAGATTTATTGAGATTTATCGTGAACTATCGTGATTTTGAGTGAATTTGAGTGATTTTGAGTGAATTACATTGAATTATCTTGAATTATCGTGAAATAATAAGAAATCCTATCAGAAAACCCAGAGTGAATAATTTTTTGTGAAGTGTATTGCATAAAATATCAAAGAAACTACAGTATCAGTATGGGGATAACAATTGAACAATATAGAGCCAGAGCAGGTGTTCATGTGAGTTTTCTCAGACAGAGAGATGCGGCTAAGCGTCTTTCAGGTGCATTTTGGAACACCATGTTGATGCAGTTTTATCTAACTGTATTTTATTTCCCAACATTAAAACAAATAAATGAGAATTACAGAAAATCTAATGAGGCTGTTGTTTGGTTTATTAAGATAGTTTGTTATCACCAAGTCTATGTGCCTCAGTTATTAAGACTATAAAATGATGTTGAAACAAATCCAGGACCCAATGTGAATGATGTTGTCAATCCTTCTGAGACCATATGTGCTGATTTTAGCCAGGGTTGCCGAATTAGATTTCGACAAAATGCTGGAAAGCAATGTGTTGCAATGTCCTTGACGGCAATAGTTTACAGTCAAATACAGGATGTCAGACGGCTGAGACAAAGCTCAATAACAATCGCACACAGCCAGTTTCAACCTCGTACCCAGGGTAATTTCGCTGTGTTATAGGGAGAGACCGCCCGCTGCGAAATTACCCTGGCGTCGGCTGGTCACGTGAATCCCAGAATCTGGGATTTTTCTCATAAAACCGTTTAGGGTGGGTATGTGCGTAGTATGATTGTCTCTAGAGTAATTTTGACAAAGGAGCGAAGAGAAACTGTAATGAAATAACGCGGAAAAATGGAGGAAATAACATGCAATATAGCATTTTTTCTGGTCATAAGATCAAATTACATATCAAATTACAATAGCATGAGCATTTGCATCTTGCAAAGCTTCAAATGTCATTTGCTCGGTATGGCTTTGAGAGAAACACCAAAGAAATTGTATCCAGCGTCCGTTTCTAGTTGTATTGACCCAGCGTCTTGTCGACTTTGTCGTTCTATTGGTGACGCGAGCCATCGCAAAGATATTTTTAAGCCAACAAATCGGGCATTGTTGAAAATCGCCGAACAATTGTATGGCCGCAATATTGCTCCGGATCCAAATCTGCCCCGTCAAGTGTGTAGACCATGTGAGCGCAGACTTAAGAACTGTTTGGAGTTTCAGAAAGTTATTTCAGAAACACAGGAGGTCTTCCTAAAACGTCAGCCGGCTAACACACGAGTTAAACGATGTATTGATGTCTCGCCATCGATTTCCAGGGAGCCAAAATCCCGTTTAAATCCTTCTTTGAGAACCTCTTTGATTTCGTCTTTTGGTACGTCCAGTTCGAATGCTGATATAGAGGTAAATACGCAATTGAATATATATTCTGCTGTGTTAAAATATTTTCTTTTCAGATACATTTAATAAAAAATATCTGCGGGAAATATGCTAAAATATATACGATTTTAATATTCAGTATGCAAATCAGCACATGTATTCTGTAATTTGAGATAATAAATTATATATCCATATGGGCAGGGTCTTTTTTGCTATTGTTGGTGGCATTGTTTAATGTTGAGACAATAAAGGCAAGGTTTTTACGAGTTAATTTTTAATATTTTTTAGTAAAACATACAATATTTTGTGATGAAATAAAATATAAGATTCAATGTAAGATTCAGTTTATGCTGTGACCATGCATACAGTAGTTTTACATAACTTTTACACATTGCCTTTAATTACCCCAAACTCCCCATCATTTTCTGCAGCAATATATCTTTTTATAATTGTTTTAAGATTGCATATTATATTTATTATAGAATGTAACTCCCTTGAAAGAGGTTAATGTATTGGAGATGGCTGAAAGTGAAATGGTGAATGTTGCAAGGAGAGACCCACCATCAGTCTTGCGTAAAAGGACATATGCAGGTTTGTGCCAGGAAAATTGGATGGATGAGGTTGTAAGCGAGCTAACCACCAGATGCCCGACTGTTGCCAAAATCTTATCAACCTTGCTTGATTGTGATATAACTAATCCTGGAAAGAAGCTACCACCTTTATGTTTGGTGTATGCCACCATTATGTTCCTGAGATGTCATGAGTTGAGCAGGATCCAGCGGATAAACACTGTTATTTTGGTCCAAGGAAAAGCAACAACAAATGTATGTCCTGTATAAATTGACTGCAGTGATATAGGTTTGCTCAATATCTCATATATTATATATTTCTTCTTTTAGCTTATTGATCGACTTAATAAATATGGGGTATGCCTAAGTTCCTCAAAAAAGTATGTTGTGTATGATGATATCGGAAAGCATTTTTTGGATCATGCTGTTGAGCTGGTAAAATCAGGTAATAAAAAGAAATAATCTGGCATATATATAATATATTATATACCGGTATAATATGTCACACAATAATTGCAATCTGATGGTAATCCTTGTTTCCAGGAGCCAATGTCTAACTGGATTCCCATATTGTGTGGGCTGAGTCAATCATGTCATACTGTCGTCAATTGCTATCCATATAATTATATATTTGCATGTTGACTAGTTTATTCACTCTTCTGATTTAGCTGTTAACAGATCAGATTCTGTATTTTAGAATATAAATAAATTAGATGACCAAATGGCTACTCGGGTAACTAAAACTTAACTAAACTAACTTAATCTTAACCAATGCAGGTATGAAGTTTGTTTATGTCGTTGACAACATTGACTGGGAAGAAAGGGTTCATGATATGAGGGAACATCATCAAAACAAGAGCATTCATGCAGTAGCAACCAGTATGGTGTTCACCAGGATTCCAAGTGATCATTTGCCAGACAATGGCCCACAGATGGATGTCAAGACTTGCAACTTTCGGGAAATTGTTAGGATAAGTGACAGTGAAATGCAAAGTATCCACAGTCGATACCGAATGCTTGTAGCAAGAATTTTGATTGAAAAGTTCCCAAAATTCTCCAATCTGAGATCTTATATATCTGACGAACTTGCTCTAGAACATGAACATTCAGCTGTTACCTCTCAAAGGTCGGAAATCATGACCCTTCCAGTATTAATGAAGGACGAAAAGAAGTATAGTGATTGTGTTGATGTCTTGGACCAACTTGAAGAATGGACACACGAGGTCTATTATGCAAGTGGTTATTGTAAAGTTCCCCAGTCTTCAAAATCTAACACCCCAGTAGAAGTCGCTACAAGACCAGATCAACCAAGAGCACACATACCACCTGTGCCATCAGATGAAGATCCATTGAGTGGCATTAAAATTCCTTGCTTTGGTGATGAATTAACAAGAGTTCGATTTGCTGGAGCACGAGATCTTCGCTCTGGGTGCCATACAGCTAAGCAACGTTTGGATCATTTGTATCCATACCGTATTGTTGGATGGCATACTAAGAGAAGTTTTTTGAAGGTAATGTTAATATATTTTTTATTAAAGCAAACTGGTTTCATGTGCTTCTTCTGACTTGGATAGTAAGTTTCAAATTATTGTAACAGAATATAGTATATACCCCTGGGGATTTCATAAGACTTGTGATTTGCTTAAATGCTGATTATAAAATGAATCATTCCAATAAAAATATTAGCAAGGTGTGGGTTTTATTACAACTCCCACTATAGGTTTAAAACATCAGAACTTGTATAAATGAATGTCTGAGAAAATTGAACTTTTTGTTATTAGTCATACATAAAATTTTACACTTACATTTCATAGTCGATCTTCAAAAGACTGTACAAGAACTCGGGCAGAGAGAGTGGTACACTGAGGTATTTCCGGGAGGTGCTAAATAGACGAAATGTGACCATTGATGTTAAACATTTTGAAGACTGCGAGCAACTTTTTATGAGTGTTGGCAATTGCTACATCATTGAAGCTCTGCTTGCATTCTTTGAGATGGATAATGTTGATGAGTCACCAAAGGAAAATAATCCCCTTCCTCCCAATGACTTGACAGATGAAGAGAAAAAAGCCCACGTACATGCAGTGTTGGACAAGTTCCTTTACCAATTTCTTAATCAAACTATGGAACACAGTGATGATGAAGACATGTCAGGTGATGATGACAATGATGATGACATATCAGATGGTGTATTTAATTACTCCATAAATCTTATCAAGTCATTCATGGTGCTATTAGATTGCAAAGATGCTGTAGCATCAGGGAATGGTGAGCATCTTGCATTAGTTCAGAAACAGATGTTGTTTTACTTCTCATCTGTTTCTGGATATAATTCATATGCAATTGAGATGTTAGTTAATACTATTCAGAATGCTGTATTGCTGTCCCCTGCTGAAGCACATCTGTGCAAATGGGCTGCACTGGCAAATTGGAAGGGTGGAAAAAACAAAAACATTGAGATAGATCTGCTGCAGGAAAACAGAAACAAAGATATCAAAGGACTTATCAGCTTAATGGGAGCAAATAAGACTACGAAAGCAATTGAAAGGGTTAGCAGGGCAGCTGGAGGTGTTCACAAGATTGTTGATGTGTATGAAAGCCAGGCATTGATTAAGGCAAAGGCATCAGCCCACTCCCACAGGTCCTCTATCGAAGATGAAAACAAGATCCTTGCTGATTTAAGGAAGATAAAGCCATTTAAGCAAACACCTGGTAGATCCCATAAATCCTTTGTAGGAATTTCATCCAACCCACTCAATAACTTGGATGAGAAAAAGTTCTGTGAATGGCTGCAGAGACATCAGAAAAACATTTCGGTACACTTTCCTACACAATCACCTGAGGAACGTGAGACTGATGATGAAGAAACCAACCAATAAAAGGGGTTTTTAGAAGCCAATAGAAGCTTTCATGTTAGTCACTGAACAGTGGACTGCAGTCAAATAAAATAGGGTGCATGGGGGGGGGGGCAGTGTGCCACTTCATGGGAGCTACTGATGATAGGGGCTACTAAATGCATGGGGGTTAGGCTGAAAAGATGAAGAATGATCTAAACCTTGTCAAGTTTGACAAGTAAAATCTATTTATACTATTCTTGTTTGTTTGCATGGTGACATCAAATAAGTAAATTAGTTTGTAGGTACACCACATATAAGCATTTAATACTGAAAAGCTTTTAGTCCATTAACCCAGGCTTTCATCGGTGCAATATATCATTCATATTGCACTGATGAAGGCCTGGGTTAACAGACCAAAAGCTTTACAGTTTTAAATACTTATGTGGTGTACCTACAAGCTAATTTACCTAAAATCTATTCAAATTAAGTAGAATCTAGTGAAGTGGCAACCTTCTACTGTACAAATAGTATAATTCCCAGTCTAAAATGCATAAACAAGCTTTTTAACTTTGTAACATGCCCATTGCATGGAAGTAATATCTGTACATAACTAATATTTCTATGGTGCACTGATATTTGAAGCTAAACGTTTCATATCTAGGTTGTTTGTAAATAAATTTGCACTTGATAAAAATAGTATTATGTAAATAAATTGTAAATAGTATTGTTTTTTTAATTGAATATTGAATTATGTGAAATATGAACATGACACCACAATATATTTGTACATAATTATGAACTAGTTTGAAAAAGTGTGCAATAACACAGGTGAAAACACCCAAAATTTTTATGGCTAACAAAAAGGATTGAACTTATAAAAGGTTATTATTACAAAAGTTGTTGATAACAGTTTTATGAAAAGTGCAGTATAACTTTGTTCAATCTTGTTTTCATTAACCAAGAACAGTTTTCAATGTTTTCATTAACCAAGAACAGTTTCAAGAAAAGTGTTTCTAGAGTAAAAAAACTATTTCATGCAAGAGCTGCATTCACACTCTAACATACCAACATCACAGCAAAGATGTTTAGGTGTAACAAGTGGGAAATACTTTTTGTCTGTGTCCAATAAAGACAGCAAAACATGCCTAAGGCATTCACCTTTAGTTTTGCAAAAACGTCTGACAGCTTCTTGCATTCCAGGCTTGTTTTTTGCTATATCCCGATTGTTGTAGTACAGCACAGCAGTTGCAGGTTGTCCATCCCTCCCCGCTCTACCAGTTTCCTGGAAGTATGCTTGGATGGTATATGGTGGGGTGATGTGAACAATACATCGTATACCTCTAATATCAATACCCATACCCAGGGCTACTGTGGCAAATATGACTCTAACAGTACTTTGGGAAGAGCACAACTGTTTTAGGATCATATCTTTCATTTCTGTTGTCTGAGGTGAGTGGAATTGGGCAAACAATCTGTTCTCTGGTGTTTGCCTAGATCCTTTCGGGTGATATTGATTAATACCCAAAACAGATTCAAAAATCTTGTATGCAAACCCACACCATCTTAGTGGAATGTATATGATAGTCAAGGGGTAACATATATTTTTCTCCAGCAAGCCTTGTGCCATGGGAGTAAGAATACTTGTGAGAGAATCTATATCAGAACCAACTCTAAAATGTTTCTCATACATTATGTTTCTGCGATCAGGATTGCCAACTACTTCACTGCAGTCCTTTATGTCCAAAGAGTTTTTAATTTCTTCCCTGTCTCTTTTGGTAGCTGTGGCTGTCATGGCCATGACAGGTACATTTGCAAATGTAGCACATAACACTGCTAAGTTGCTATAGTCAACTCTGAAATCTTTACCCCTGTAAATTATGAATATACCTAAGTTTAAAATACTTCTATATTGAAAATTGTAACAAGGGCATTCAACCAGCAGGCCTGACAACTTATTTATAGTGCGACTACCTTTGTGCAACTACCTAATCTTTGTGCACAATTAAACCTTTGAGATCAATCCAGACAGATATAAATTTGATATAAAATGACAAACTATATACATGTGTATACTCACCAATTTAAAATACAGTGAGCTTCATCCACCACAATGGCACAAACGTTTTCTTGGTAGGGGGTTGTGTGCATCAATTTTCTTCCATACGTACACGATACAAAAGATTCAGGATGCGCAAACACAATGTTGTAGTATCCGGCCTCTAACTTTTCTCTGTCGATCAGGCTAAAATCACAAATCGACTCTTCGCTGTCGTCAACATCATCTTTCGTCGTGCTTTTTACCCCCAAAGCAGACGCTCGAATTCCACTAGAACTTAACCGTGAAATTTGGTTTTCTATTAGCGCATTCAAAGGCGAAACAACGATCACAATAGATGATATGCTTCCTCCAGGGCATTTGACACCGTTCTTCTTCGCAAACAACAACGCAGGAATTAGGCAAAAAATCAACGATTTACCGTACCCAGTCGGCAGGATGGCGATAATATCCAAATTCAAAAAGATTTTTTCTAGGCAAATCACCTGTTTAGGCTTTAAAATCACCTCACTATACAAACTATTTAGTATAGCAAACTGTAAACACGAAAGGAAAACCCCGCACATTGTATTCGGAAACATGGCGCATTGAACTAATTATAAACACAATAACGAAAATTCACCCACGAAATTCACCCACCCTCCCACGTAAACAAATTTTAATTGTAGTCACATGACCAGCCGACGCCAGGGTCTTCGCCGCAGCGTGGTCCGAGGAGCGGAGGTAAAAAGACCCTGGGTACGAGGTTGAGCCAGTTTTCCCTTTTTCGATAAATTGCAAAATTTGGCATTTTTTTTTAATTTTTTGCTACTTCGAACAAGTAGCACTATCGCTTCTTCCACACATGTTGGAAAGATTAGAAACTGAAAGGATTGCCCACGCACACTGACCTCCAGTGCTAAGTTGTTCAAGGTTTAAATGCCTGAAGGTTACTATGTTACATCTATGGTTACATCTACCAACACCATGGCGGGCGCATGTCCGCTCCGCGGACCTATTTTATTAATGTAGGTTCATATTTAGCAGATAATATATGTATAATTATTATCGTCGCCAGTTTAGTGTATTTCGATCAAATCAAAAGAGAACAATTCGTTCTAAATCACTTTATTCACAACTGTCTTATTAAGGATCTATCTATATAACAACATGGCTGTCTTATATATACCCTACCTATAATTATGCTACATTAATTATACATATATTATCATAATACACTATATCCCTTTTCTTCTCAAAATATTATTACCTACATGGTACTATATATAAATATATATATATTTTTTTTCTTAAACATTTGCTAAAAGCAAAGTATAAAGTTCTTTGTTTATATCCTAACTAATTTTAACTGTTCAAATGCTATTTCATCATCTATGTTAAATATTACTTAAATGCTATTTCTTTAGCTATCTATAGTCATAAATTCAGTCTATCTGGCGGTTTCCCTTTTGTACTTCTTGAAGAACTCCTTACATTACCTCTAACAGTCTGTGATCTGTCACTCTCTTCTTCGTCACGATCAACTGTTTCCTGTTCCAATTGTGAACTTGTTTCTTCAAACTTTCTAACATGCGAAGAATTACGTTTATATAGAACACCTTCATCAGACTTAATCTTCATTTGCGAACCATTTACATTCACAATCTCATATGGATCATGTTCATATGTTGATGTTGTCTTACACCTTTTCTTTTGCTGTAACAACACTTTATCATTGCGTCTTTATCACGTATGTCTTCGTCCAATTTATCTACTGGAACCAACTCTGGTATCTTTGTACGAAGATGCCTTTTAAACAACATCTCATCAGGTGCTTTTCCAGTGGTGCTATGCGGTGTTGTACGATACGCCATCAAAAATTTATATAGCTCTTCTTCTAAATTTGCTCCTTGTGCATAAGTTATTTTTATGATTTTGTTCAAATTTCTTATTTGCCTTTCTATTTCTGCGTTAGCTTGTGGCCATAACGGAGTTATACGTCTATGATAAATGCCATTCTTTTCACAGAATTCTTCAAATTGAAACGACATGAACTGTGGACCATTGTCCGAAGTTATCTCATAAGGTAATCCGTGTGTGAGAAACATTCTTTCAAGTGATGCAATAATCTTTGTTGATGTCACAGATTTCAGAATGTCTATTTCAATCCATCTGCTGTAGTAATCTATTACTACTAAGATGTAAATGTTACCATCTATTGGACCAAGTAAATCACAAGCAAGAATCTCCCATGGACTTTCAGGCAATAATGTTCTTACCATTGGTTCTGGACGTGAAGGTGACTGTACAACTTGACATCCATGACACGTACGACATTCTCTTTCTACTTCTTTATCAATGTTTGGCCACCAAACTACTTCTTAAACGTTGTTTGGTTTTCACAATTCCTTGGTGTCCTTCATGGGCCAATTTCAATACCTTCTTCTGCAACGATTTTGGTATCACCAACCGCGTACCACAAATTACTAGCTTCCCAAGGACACTAAGTTCCTGTCTGACGGATCTGTAAGATACATCCACCGATTCCCATTGCCTATCTGTTATAATACACATTCTCACCTTTGAAAGTTCTGTATCATTTGCAGACTCTTTCTCCACTTCTTGTATTGTGATTGCATTTGGAACTGCATTCTTTGCCACGAACCGTATGTACTCTTCTGCATCATCAGTGCTCTGACTGGTATTCACAGTCAACCTCGAGAGTGTATCAGCAATATTCTCGTTCCCAGGCTTATACTTCACTATAAAGTCATACAATTGCAAACGTAGAACCATCTCTGTATTCTTGCTGGTGATGAGTTCTTTGAATATATTACCTCTAAAAGTTTGTGATCTGTAATCAACTCAAACCGTTTGCCATATAGATACGCATGAAAATTTTCACACGCCCAAACCGAGAGCTTCTTTTTCAGTCTGGCTATATCTTCTTTCAACACTTGTCAACGATCGGCTTGCATAATTAACAACTCTTTATTCCCCATTCTGTTCTTGAACCAATACAGCACCAAGACCCACAGGACTTGCATCAGCAATAACTTTTGTCTTGGCATCTTTATCGAAATATGCCAAAACCTTAGCACTTGCCAGTTGTAACTTCAATTTATTGAAAGCGTTCTCATGAACTTCTTCCCACTTGAAAATTTCACCTTTTCTTGTTAACTGCCGTAGGGGCTCAGAAGTTGTCGCCAAGTCTGGAATGAATCTAGCAGAAAAGTTAACAAGCCCTAGAAAACTACGAACCTCTGAGGGTGTTTCAGGTCGTCGTGCATTCTTTACTGCTTCTACTTTTGAATTGGTTGGACCTATGCCTCTCTCTGACAACAAATATCCCATAAATGTTAGTTCGGTCATCCGAAACTGACACTTTTCAGGGTTAAGTGTGAGATTTTTCTTCTGCAAGGTGTTCAATACTTTTTCAAGCCTTTCATCATGCTCAGCTTGATTCTTCCCATGTACAATAATATTGTCCGATATATTACGTACACCTTCGCAGTCACAAATTGCATCTCCCACATGATACTGATAAACTTCTGCCGCATTATTCATACCAAATATGAGGCGAGTATAACGATAATGACCTTTATGCGTCACTGTAGTTGTAATCTCTCTAGATTTTTCATCAAATTCTAGCTGATGATACCCATACCTTAGATCAAGCTTAGAAAAAACTTTACTACCATTAATTTCATGAAGGATATCATCTACTGTGGGAATAGGATACTTTTCTCTGATAATAGCTTTGTTAGCCTTCCTCATATCCGTACATAATCGTATTTCCCCCAATTGGGTTTAGGTACTACAACAAGAGGATTTGCCCATCTTGCTGGTCCTTTTACTTTCTCTATAATACCTTGAGCTTCTAATTCATCTAACTTCTTTTCAACTTTAGACTGTAAACCATAAGATATGTTACGGACCTTCTGTGCTACTGGTTTAACATTCGGATCTAAACTTATCTTCAGCTGCCTATCCTTTAGTTTACCAATGCCAGTAAAACACTTACTATATGTTGTTTTCATCCTTTTCTCAAATGAAACATCATCTTCTAATGAACACACATCTGCAGCTATCACAGGTTGTGGCCCAATCTTCAATACTCCCATACCAACAGCAGTTTTTCTTCCAAGCAATGGTTTACCTGTCCCATCGATAACTATGAATTCTACTTCTTTCACTTCTTTTCCTTGACACACTATGTCAGCTATGAATTTTCCAGCTACTTTTAAAGGTTTTGTGGAACCATATGCGTAGATCTGTGTTGCTGTTTTCTGGGATTTGCATTTGATATGTTTCTTTTTCAGATCTTCCCAGCACAATTTATCAATCACATTACATGTAGAACCAGAATCAATCAGAAAGTTACATAATACCCCTCCAATATAAACATCAATGAAACCCATACTACCATCAGAATGAGCATTAACCACAAAAGCACATTCACTGTCCTGTCCTTCGGACCCTTGATCTTCTTCCATACAATTAATTCTTCCTTGACCATCTTTCTGGTTTCTCATTTTGGTTTTGCAGACTTTTGCAAAATGTTTCTTTTTATGACACTTGTTACATTCAGCAAGCTTGGCAAGACACTTTGGTGACTTGGCATAATGACCAATTTTGCCACATCTGAAACATTTATTTTCATCTGACTTGTTTTGAAACTTTTCTTCTTTCTTTCTGCCACCAACAGAGTTGACATTTTCCTTTTTGATCTGGATTCCAGCATCATCATTAATTTTGCTAGCCTGAAAATAAGAGGCTTCATGTGCACGAGATATCTCTTGAAGGCTTTTAAGCGTTAAAGATTGTCCTTTTTCAAGCAATTTTCTACGAAGTGCCACTGTGCAACACTTATCAATAACTTGATCTCGAATAAATTCATCACTTGAATCCTCATAATCACAGCTCAACGCTTTCTGTTTAAGCCTTGTGACAAACTGATCTATCGTCTCATCATCTTCTTGAATCATACGCCGAAACATATGTCTTTCATACGGTACATTAACAGCGGGATTAAAATATGCATCAAACGCTTCGATCGCTTTAACATAATCCTTGGCTTCTCCAGTATCTGATAATGTGTCAAAAATATCTTGTACATCCCAATGCCAGCACAGTGCAACAACAAAGCTCGCTTTTGCGTATTGTCAGTAACTCCTTTTCCGACCACAAACAGTTCAAAAGCTCTTTTCCATCTTCGCCATCTCAGAGCAATACTAGTTGGCTCCCCTTTTGGATCAAAGGTTGGTATTCTGCTAAATATAGCATTTGCAGTTGCCATATTGCTCGTCGTATTTTATAAAATCTCCAAATCTAATCCATATCCATCCTACAGTTTCTTTATACTTTTCTGCAGCAATTATTACAAAATATTAAAACCATCCCATCATCGTCACCAGTTTAGTGTATTTCGATCAAATCAAAAGAGAACAATTCGTTCTAAATCACTTTGTTCACAACTGTCTTATTAAGGATCTATCTATATAACAACATGGCTGTCTTATATTTACCCTACCTATAATTATGCTACATTAATTATACATATATTATCATAATACACTATAGGTACAACATACGAAAACCAACAAGATATAGCTAATCAGCTTAATCATCATTTTATTAATGTAGGTTCATATTT